AATTTCCTGTTACAGTTACATACAGAGTTCCGGGTACCGGTGAGTTGTTACCACAACACCTGGTAGTACCATTTAAAATTAATTCCCTTGTAAGACTTTCTTGTTAAAAGTTAGATTGACCTGACAAGAACTCGCATGAGAACAGTGCTCGAACACTTATATTAATTGTTATATTTTCGGTTCTCATTCCATAAAAACGACAAAGTCCATACATGATAATATTGACACACTTCTACCTCTGATCAGAAAAACCCTCTAACTACCTTGGTAATTTAAATCCAACAGACGACAGTGAGGATGATATTGCTGCATGCAATAACTATCAAATAAATGTTGATTCCTGAAAAGTTTGCATACTTCCTCTGAATTAAAAATAGCAAAATATCTAATTTAAAAGAAAAGAATTGCGTAAAAATAGGATCAACATATTTTATAAAATGTAGTACTAGTAAAATATTGGTCCTACATAGGAAAGTATGATCTGCGATTTCAAGCACTGATTAATGCAAAAAATTACATAATTTTTCAGAAGTATTTTAACAATATCTGTCTGCATTTATGTTAAAGAGGTTTGAATATTATTACACAGAATCCAATGACATCACAATAACATTGTAAATATTGGTTATTTTAATGGGGTGTTCCAGTATAGGTTACGACTTCCATCGCTATCTACCATCACGTCAGTGTTGCTTGACAAATTTCCAATTTATTAGGAATTTATTAGGATATATGATGGACGCAGGCTGGGAATAAGCCTCTGTGTCCATATCTGTAAATGAATTTACAATAAATAATATTCTTAATGACAAATACTTCTGGTGTTATTTCATGACTTTAAAATAAAATATCGATTTTCTTTCCAGTGTTCATCAAATAAAATTTCGAACTGTTTAACTGTATTAGCATCAACGACATGTTGAGGTAAACTGTTCCATACATTTATAGTTCTTTAACTAAAGAAATGTTTTCTGACGTCTAATCGAGAATGTTTCTTATACAATTTCTTGGAGTGTCCCCTTGTTGTAGTGGAGGATGCCATCTGGAATAGGTTTTCCGTAACTCTTGTATCATATTTATTGTTTATGACTTTGAAGGTGTTAATCATGTCTCCCCTCATCCTGCGATGTTTTAAGATAGGTAGGTCCAGTCACGCTAAGCGCTCTTCATACGATAAATGTTTAAAACCTGGTATTAATTTCGTGGCTCTCCTTTGAACGTTTTCAATAATATCTATATCCTTGACCAGGTGCGGGTTCCAAACACTAGAGGCATACTCGGGGTGCGGTCTTACCAGAGCTTTGAATAGCAATTTGAACACGGTCTCGTCTAGATATACAAACGTTCTTCTGATAAGTCCTGCTATGCTATTCGCCTTGTTGACAATTAATTGAATGTGGCTTCGGAAGTTTAATTGATCATCAATAGTTACATCAAGATCTTGTTTCCTTCGCTATGTTTTCTAATTGCAGGCTTTCTCCTTCGGGTCCAGACATAGAATAATTTCTTCTTTCACATGGTTTGATTGATAATATTTTACGTTTATTTGGATGGAATTTCAACAGCCATTTTTTAGACCAATTTTGAAGCTTATCCAGATCCCTCTGCAAAATATCAATATCTTCCGTGCTATCTATTTGCCTGTATAATTTGGTATCATCCGTAAAAAGATACGTTGGTGATTCAGTAACTTCTGGTAGATCGTTTATATATATGACAAAGAGGATTGGGCCAAGAACGCTACCCTGAGGGATTCCACTCAATACGGGGTAAGATCTTGATGATTTACCATAACTTTCTGTGATCTATTATTAAGAAAGTCATTTACCCAGTTTACAACCTGGCGACTAATCCCGTACCCTGAAAGTTTCTTTAAAAGGCGCTGGTGAGGCACTTTGTCAAAGGCCTTCATAAAATCCCTGTATACGACATCCAGTTGCCCTCCATTATCCATTATATTTGTCCAATCCTGAAGTATCGTTAGTAGCTGTAACTGTGTGGATCGGCCAGACATAAAACCAAACTGTTTATCGCTCAACAAATTGTTCTTATCCATATGGTTAACAATACTATCCCTTACTATTTTTTCAAGTGTTTTACCGACTATGCTTGTACGACTTACTGGTCTATAATTCCCTGGTTCTGACTTTGATCCTTTTTTTAAAATATTGCCGTAATGTTTGCATCTTTCCATATTTGAGGTAGTTTTCCATCCGATATTGACTTCTTAAAAATGCATTCTAAAGGTTTACCGATAATTTTGAGCAACTCTTTTAAAACTTTCGGGTGCATATTAACTGGCCAAGGAGATTTGTTCTCATGCAAGTTTAATAGTAGTTTTTCAATTATTTCTGCAGTACAATTAATTTCTTGAAAAGGGTATGTGATGAATCTTTCCTCAATTTCAGGCAGGTCTCCTGGAGGTTCCTGTGTAAATACACTACTGAAAAAGAGGCCAAAACTTCAGCTTTATCCGAATCGTTTACTGCCATCTGCTGGTTGTCACCATTTAATCCTTATAGTTCAGAAATTCCTGTTTTCGTTTTTCGTTTGGAATTTGCGTATTTCCAAAAGCGTTTTGGGTTCAATTTTATATCTTTGGCGATGCTCTTTTCCATTACATGTCTGGATTTTCTTACCTCCCTCTTCACCTGGTTTCTTATTTTAGCATACTCTTTATACTTCTCTTCACTTTTTGTTTCCATGTATCTTTGCCATGCACAGTGTTTTTTGTGTATTTTCATTCGGACAGATTCCTCCAATGTAATTTTATATTCTTTCTGTTGTTGGCGGTTTTGAGCTTTGCTTTTAGGGACATGTTTATTAACATTAGACTTTATTATCTGTGTGAATGATTTGTACATTTCTTCCACGGTTCCTTGTAGCAAACCAGACCAATCCTTAGGGACATCTTCTATCATCTTATCGTAATCTCCTTTATTATATATTAAACGTGGTACTGACTTTCCTTTAGGTAGTTTCTGACAACAAAATTCAAAATATAACAGAAGGTGATCACTATTGCCAATTGGGCTGTTGTATGTTTGGTCCTTTATCATCTCCTCTTCGTTAGTAAGTGCAAGATCTAAGGTACTGGGCTCATTTCCTCTCCTTACTCTTGTAGGACATGTTGTATGTTGATACAGGTAATTATCTCTTAGACACTCTATGAACTTTTCACTCTCTTTATCGCCTTTCGAGGACCAAGTATTTCAGTCAATCTTTCGAAAGTTGAAATCCCCAAAAATCAACAAGTGACTGTAAGTAGCTGAAGATGCCATATTATCAATTAACTTTTGAAGTTCTTGAGTGTTTTCTTCAGATGAGTTAGGGCTTTTGTAGATACATCCAATCAGCAGACAATTTCCTTTGGACAAATTGATTTTAACCTATATACTCTCTTTAAACTGGCTGCCCATGATGACTTCAACTCCATTTAGTTCCTCCTTTACATACACTCCTATGGCTCTATGATTCGCTTTAATCTCATCCATCACGAACAGATTATAACCAGGTATACAAAGTTCAGATTAGCTAGGTAGGTACCTACAATTTTTAGGCAGCATTTCAGTTATTCCAACGATGTCAATGTTTTTTTCTGTTAATGTAATTATAGTTTTAAGTTCATCCAATTTATTCATAAGACTATCTGCATGTGTGTAGTAACAATTTAAAGTTTCTGTTCCTTTTATTGATCTGGTGTCTGAGCTTTCTATATTTACTTTGACCCGTCTTTTGGTACCCGAACTATTTTCCTGCTCCAGGGTGGTCCGCGCACACGGTAGGCCCACTCCCCCGAATTTGACTTTCTTTTAGCTTCTTCTAAGAGTACCTTTTCTGTTTCTCTCTCAGTTTTTGTTAAGTCGTTGCTAATTTGCACCGACTTAAGCTTTTCCACGGACCTCAGCTCCTTGATGTTTTTGAAAAACATTTTCTTGTCATCTACCGAAGCAAAAGAGACCAAAATTGGCCTTGACTTATTCGTATTTCCGTTCGGTTTGTTAAATTTCCCAAGTCTTATTGCTTTCATAATTCCATCGAAGACAGTTGATGGAACTTTGCAGGCATCCATGATTTCTTTTATCTTCTTTTCATCCTCTTTCTTTCACTTGCTTCCTTCCTCGCTTGATTGTTCATCAATTCCAAAAACCAATATATTCTTTCCTCTTCTTTTCCTGTCTTCCAGTTCTGTTAAGACTTCTTGGGTATTTGAAGTTTTAGTATGTTTACTCACCCCTGACTCACCCTCGGGTGAATGTGAGAAATGAGACAATTCGTTTTAATTATCTCTTTGACATCATTCTAATCACATTTCTTCTGTAATTCTTGTTCCAGCTGTTGAATCCTAGTTTCAAACTTTTCCATTATTTCAGCGCATTTTTGCTCAAACTTGAGTTCAGTATGCAAAGTTTTCTCCTCTGCTACCCGACAAGGGACGCAAAACCACAACACCGCGTTAGAGCTGGAGAGGATATTGTATTCATTTTCATCCTTACCGAGACATGACGTGCAATAACGCTCCCGACATCGTTCACATTCCAATAATGTTGTGTTTGGATCCCGAAATTCAATGCAACATAGTTTCCAATAACTTAACAACTTTATGTAATTTTAATAAGGCTGAAAGTGTTCACAACAGGTCTCTTCCAAGTTAACTCAATAAGAATTGAAACCGTTTACAAGAATTTAAATGAAAACATGAAATTATGTACATAGGCCTATATATTGTATATATATATATGTTTTAGGCTCGAGCCCTAGTCTGAGGAGTCTAAAGCATGCAGTAGGCCTATATAAATTCAAACCTTATGTTTACTTCACTGTACTGTATACGTACAGTACTGTACAAATGATATCTAGCCAGATGGAATTTTAAATGCTGTAATTATATATGAAGTTCATGTAGATAGAAGATGATGACCAAGGTAATACAATAATTTAAGTACTCATCAACTATTAATCAGTTAAAGCCTTGTCATTCATTTTTGTCACGGACTTACCAGGACTTTGGTGAATCTGCGCTCGAGCTCATGGGAATCGGGCATCGGGAGACGAATCGACATGGCTGGGGTTCTGAAATCTGGTCCTCTGTAGTTAGGTGTGCTCTCTCCATTCCCCATTGTTTGAACAAGTGCACACTCTAACGTTAGCGTCCGGTTCGACATTGGTATAGTATGGCTTCACAATACATTGTCAAATTCGTCGCTTCATGAGCTAGTGTTTACAACATCAAAAAGGTGCATGGTGTCGGCAGAGATGCTTTTACCATGAGCAATTAAACGCAAATCCCTACGATACAAATACATTACAGTCGCAGTCTGTGATAGATAACATCAAATCATTTTGACACAAAATCGAGTGGTAGCCGGCCATTTTTCATTCAGACAGGAAGGGAACAGTTTCTGATTCATTTAAATCCCGCATCATCTCGCGAGATGTTGCTGTGCTGTGTTCATGGTCAGTGGAACGCTTCGTTAGGGAAATCTATGTACACCGTAAACCAGCCACGTTAAAGTCGAAAAAGAGAGTTTTTGATGGTTTATATTGAGATAAAATTAACTTAAATTTAAGAGTGATTTGTGGAAATATATGAAAAAGGATTATTGGCTAAATTATTTTCATGAGATGAATTTTGGGGCAACCTAAATACATGAGTGCCTTAATAATTCAAATTATGGAAGATGCTAGTTTAAAGCAAAAACATCAGATTTTATTAATAGATTCACCTACCTTTAAGCAGACATAAAGTTGAAATACCTGTTCTATCTCAATACACGATTTTTGATGATTTAACCTCCATGGTATAGTATGGAGTACACTAAGTTTATAAAGATAAAATTTGCAATAGTGTTACATTGCGTTGATATTACTGTGAAGTCTTAATAAAATGAAAGTGATATTTGACACGCGGATATAATTACATATTTCTGAGACTGATTGTGTATTTAGTTATGTTAACTGATATATGTTATTACAACTAATTGTCATTAGTGTCATAAACGTGATTTGTAACTAAGTCATTTGTAAAGTGATTGGAACTCATATTTGGTATGAACTCTTTAGTTAACATAACGTCTGGTGTGTAAGAAGGTTGACTTAGTACACTTGCGGAAAAAAATATCGTAAATTCACTATTGCATTAATTCTAATATTTATATTCAGTTCATAAAGAATAAAAAATACCAAACAATATGTGAAATGATATGTAAATACTTAAAATATCTCACATAAAATGTAATAAAAAGACAGTATCATTGTGAGACTATTTTCTGCTTACTCCCTGTATTTGACAATGTAACGGAGGTAATTTTTCATCTCAATGCCTCCGCTAGGAATCGAACCCAGGACCCCTGGCTTACTAGTCTTGACGCTCAACCAATCAAGCTAAAGAGAAGTTCTCTCAAGCCGAGTAGTAAATTGCGGCAAGTATTTTACCAGGGTTGCATACTCCCCCTCCAGTAAATAACTCGTCCTTGAGTTTCCAGGGGTCACAGCGATGCTGGTGGGGCATGACTACATACTATTCCCAGGTCCCTACATGGGTGCCAATGTAACGGGTCATTTTTCATTTCAATGCCTCCGCTAGGAATCAAACCTGGGACCCCTGACTTACTAGTCTGACGATCAACCAATCGAGCTAAAGAGAAGTTCTCTCAAGCCGTGTAGTATATTGCGGCTAGTATTTTACCAGGGTTACAACAATGTTTCCCATCAGATTAGAATCAGCTGTTTTGCTATTTCATCAGTTGTCTAGCTGTTCCATTAGTACTTAAAACATCCAATAAATGATGGTTATTTATCTTTTTCAAGTATGTCAATAAAAAGGAGTCGCCAAAATGTAAACAAGAGATAGGTTTTCTATTTTGTTGTTAACTGGTGTAAAAACTACATTTCTTGTTGGTGTTTAATCATGGCATACTAACATGCCGCATTTAAAGCATCTGAAAAAAACTACAGCACATAAATCAGTAAACATATAAAATATATATATATATATTTCTTAAATAGGTTTGGTTGACAGTTATTTATGCTTAGTGCATGTATGTCAAAGAGGTGTGTACACATATGTTTCATGTTTAAATTGTTACTTATACCTTGTCAGTGCCTTCAGCTAAACACCTTTGTGCAATGTTGTCAGGGACATGCATGTTACTGAGTCTCTAACAAATGGGGAAAATATGATAGATATTGACTACAAAGCCAGTATAGGTATCAGCAATCATTTGTCGTTATCTCTAGACTTAAAATTACTTCAAATGTATGCTATTACTTTTTATACTAAAGAACCTGGCTGTAGGATTTACCATGACTGTGATTTTGTGAGTCTGATACTTGGAATACACTGTAACAATCCAATGCTGGCCATCTTCAAGTGGATCTTCCTTCATTAGATGTTGACATCCTGCAAAGGTGTGCCAGCTGGGTTGATCAGACTCAACAAAGGACTTATCACTGCTACTCATTGTTGTCACACCCAGTGTTGGGTTGAATATTGAAGCAGCTTCCTCACTGGTCCAACTGCATCACTTCGACAGTAACACATTTGTCTCCAAACACCTTGTGCTTCGCACTGTGTTGGTGACCGCTGCACTGTTCTTCCATCTTCCTTCGTATCCAGCTAGAAGAAACCTCTGCCTATCTACTTGCTGTTCTACCAGTTTTTTTTCCATTCTGCTCCTTGCAGTCGTAAAATTCCCCAAAATGACTGGCAAGGGAATCCCCTTCAGTCAACCTCTAATGTAGACACCGTTTCCTTTATTCATGCTGTTTACATTGGTCCATCAGCTGCAGGTATATTGTATTCTGTCTATCTCATTTGTTAGACTTCATGATCCTGTCAACTATGAGAACCTGGTTGAAGCTGAGGAACAACAATAACATGTCTAGGCATGGATGTCTTCCCTCAACTCCTTGTCAGAGTGATGATGAAGCCATCTCTACAGGGTAACATATCCCCTGATGGATGTCTTCTCTCAACTCCTAGTCCGAGAGATGATGAAGCCATCTCTACAGGGTAACATATCCCCTGATGGATGTCTTCCCTCAACTCCTAGTCCGAGAGATGATGAAGCCATCTCTACAGGGTAACATATCCCCTGATGGATGTCTTCCCTCAACTCCTAGTCCGAGAGATGATGAAGCCATCTCTACAGGGTAACATATCCCCTGATGGATGTCTTCCCTCAACTCCTAGTCCGAGAGATGATGAAGCCATGTCTACAGGGTAACGTATCCTCTGATGGATGTCTTCCCTCAACTCCTTGTCAGAGTGATGATGAAGCCATCTCTACAGGGTAACATATCCCCTGATGGATGTCTTCCCTCAACACCTTGTCAGAGTGACAAGTAAGCCATCTCTACAGGGTAACATATCCCCTGATGGATGTCTTCCCTCAACTCCTAGTCCGAGAGATGATGAAGCCATCTCTACAGGGTAACATATCCCCTGATGGATGTCTTCCCTCAACTCCTAGTCCGAGAGATGATGAAGCCATGTCTACAGGGTAACATATCCTCTGATGGATGTCTTCCCTCAACTCCTTGTCAGAGTGATGATGAAGCCATCTCTACAGGGTAACATATCCCCTGATGGATGTCTTCCCTCAACTCCTTGTCAGAGTGATGATGAAGCCATCTCTACAGGGTAACATATCCCCTGATGGATGTCTTCCCTCAACACCTTGTCAGAGTGACAAGTAAGCCATCTCTACAGGGTAACATATCCCCTGATGGATGTCTTCCCTCAACTCCTAGTCCGAGAGATGATGAAGCCATCTCTACAGGGTAACATATCCCCTGATGGATGTCTTCCCTCAACATCTTGTCAGAGTGACAAGTAAGCCATCTCTACAGGGTAACATATCCCCTGATGGATGTCTTCCCTCAACTCCTAGTCCGAGAGATGATGAAGCCATCTCTACAGGGTAACATATCCCCTGATGGATGTCTTCCCTCAACATCTTGTCAGAGTGACAAGTAAGCCATCTCTACAGGGTAACATATCCCCTGATGGATGTCTTCCCTCAACTCCTAGTCCGAGAGATGATGAAGCCATCTCTACAGGGTAACATATCCCCTGATGGATGTCTTCCCTCAACTCCTAGTCCGAGAGATGATGAAGCCATCTCTACAGGGTAACATATCCCCTGATGGATGTCTTCCCTCAACTCCTAGTCCGAGAGATGATGAAGCCATCTCTACAGGGTAACATATCCCCTGATGGATGTCTTCCCTCAACTCCTAGTCCGAGAGATGATGAAGCCATCTCTACAGGGTAACATATCCCCTGATGGATGTCTTCCCTCAACATCTAGTCAGAGTGATGATGAAGCCATCTCTACAGGGCAAGATATCCTCACTGGTATCTTTTCTAACATAGAAGTCCATTTTCATTGTTCCATTTAACAAAGAACTGCATTCAGTGACAGTGATAAAACATTGCATTTGTAGTGTTCTGTGACATTATGTAATTTCACTTGATCAGATTTGTCGCACACAGATTTTATCAAGATGCAGTATTGATGACGTATTGAATAGCATGGAATAATCAATCACAACAGTATTCGGGTAGGCTCTTTAAATTTATTCGTAACTGTGAACCAGTTTAGCCCTCTCCGGGCTTCATCAGGACAACAACCTCAAAATTTTACATCCTTAAAGGTGCTATATTTTATAAATAATGGATGTAGTATAGTGACCTACTGTCACATTGTATCCACTGTATTCTGATATTGTTCTCAGTGTCTCGCTGTTGTACTATATTATTTCTGTCATTACCCAATATGTATCTTTCACTGTTATTCATAACACCATAGTATAATGGACAGCTTCATTTTTTTAAATGACAATTTCCAGGTTTTTCTTATTTCCCAATGTTTACTGAAATTCTAATTCTAAATTACAAGAGGTTGACATACAAGAAAATCTTACAAGGATATGATCGACGACATTAGATGTAGACACATCATTAGACACATCAAACAATACATGTAGGCATATAGTTAGACACATCATAAATATATGTAGATGCATCATAAATATATGTAGACATATCATAAATATATGTAGATGCATCATATGATACATGTAGATATATCATATGTAGATACATCATATATATAATGCATGTAGACGCATCATACATGTAGACACATCATACAATACATATAGACACATATATGTGGACACATCATACAACAAATGCACACATCATATAATACATGTAGACACATCATATATATAGATACATCATATAATGCATGTAGACACATCATACATATAGACACATCATAAAATACATATAGACACATACATGTAGACTCATCATACAATAAATGCAGACACATCATACAATACATGTAGACGCATCAGCATTAACAGTTTTATGATAATAATATTTTCTACAATTAGAATGTAACAAAAATCCCATGATCAAAATTATTTGAAATGATAAACACTAAAATAGTAACTGGATCTTATACAAGTAATTTTCACTCAAACACTCAAATTCAATACAAGAGGCCCAGAGGGCCTGTATCGCTCACCTGGATCTTTATGACCAACTGTACAATATCTGTGCATATGTTCCACAATAGATACTTAAAGCAATATGACAAATTACTCCATATGGGTTCTGTCCCTTAGTAGTCCAAAATAAGTCATTTGTATATAAGCCTTTAATGGCCAAATATGATGGGTTTTTGGTTAATCAGAAGAAGTTGATTAACTATTTTACCAAATCTAACCCCAATGACCTTAAATATCATTATGGGTCAAGCTATTTTTTCACACACTATGTGGGCACCATTAAGGGAACCTTTTGGACAAATATTATGATCCTAAGCCTTTAGCTTAATCAGAAGTTGTTCAAAGGTTTAACACGTTTGACTATTGTGACCTTGAACATGGGTCAAGGTCATTTCTGTTCTCAAATATATTACCGGGCATTATTGAGAACCTATTTTGGAATAATATCACTATCCTAGATGTTTTGGATCATCAGAAAATGTAATTCAAAGGTTTAACACATTTGACCCCTTTGACCTTGAATATGCGGAAAGGTCATTTCTTTTTGCAAACTTTCCTGGACATCAAAACAGGACCAGGTGAGCTAACAACGTATTTATTTCAAATCTTATGACATTTTTATTGGAATACCAGAAGATTTTTCTTATAAAACTTTCAAGTTGATGGTTTTAGCAGTTAAAATTGAAATGGGAAAAAAATAATTAAAAGTAGAATGTTCAACATGAAAACAACAAAATCAGATACACCAATACACTGTACAAAATCAGAAACACCAATACACTGTACAAAATCAGAAACACCAATACACTGTACAAAATCAGACACACCAATACACTGTACAAAATCAGAAACACCAATACACTGTACAAAATCAGAAACACCAATACACTGTACAATATTTGCTGTTCTCCTGATTTTTGTTTAATACTAAAAAGATGGTTACCTGGATTTGAAATATCATTACACAAAACATTTTAAAGGTATTATTACAAAAAAAAATTAATTTTTTTCCTATGGCTCAAATTTCAAAACATAAATGTAAAACGTAAAGGAGAAATGAAGGTTATGATACAAAATATGATTTTTATCTCTTAATTTTGTTCTCAAAGTATCTAGAATTCAGGATTCCATTCTCAGAGATAATGAAAAATTAAACCTCTTTAAGATAACAACTTTGCAAAATAAAACACATACATACATGTTATATTTAATATACAGAGCTTTACCTGCCACACAACTTTCTCACTAGACAGTTCCTATACCTGTTGTACCTATAGTTATCTTTCATACTTCCATATCACATCCACACATCACTTGTTCCCATACAAGATAAGTAAGCCTTCCACAGCATCCTTAAAGTCTGCTTCTACTGTGCCGCACTGATTTTCTCGAGACATTTTGTAGCGTCTTTTAATTTTCCAACAAAATCCTACAAATATGAAAACAAAATAATAATAATATAACTGAAATATGAATATACCAACAGAGTGTACAATCAAGAAAGGCCTCTAACTTCTGTGTAACACAACCATCACGTGGTCTTCATACAACCTCTTGTCCTAGCTGTTATAACCCAGTGATTTAAAGGGTCATCAAGGAGAAAGGCATAATCAATTCTGTTGTATAGCTAGAAACTATGTATGTATTTAGAATAATTTCTATGCTATATTTGAAAGTAACTTACAATTAATTAGAGACTGTTGTAAATTGATTTTTAATTTCTTAAATACTGATCAAAATTAAAGAAGTATCAGGTGATTCTATCAGTATTTCAGATTAAAGCATGGTATTGCCAATATCAGGTTAACCTGCCAAGACCAGGTGAGCTAGCCTCACTCTGAATAAACACTAACATGTTGTTACTATACAGAATTCCATCTTTACAACCACATATATTTATAAACATCAATCACGTATCATTTGCCAATTACTTTGTAAACATTTATTTACATCCAAACTATTGTAAATTTTAGTGTTTTTCTCACCTGTAATTGTTCTTGTGTACATGAAAACTGTATCTCCTGAATACCTGGCTTCCCTGGTACCTGTAATGAATGGATAGGTAAAATAAAACATGTATGACCCTTGAGTCCACAGAGGATATCACACACTGTAAAATTATTCAATTTTGGGGGCGGTATTTTGGTTAAATTCATGGGTACTCACAAATCCATGAATTTATATGGCCACAAAAAATGATGAACAAATAAAAGTTGTCATGGATTACAAGTTACTTTTGTGATCAAGATTTATCCCTGAAATCAAGTGTCAATGAAAAGTATATTTTTGGAAAATGGTGACATTTGAGCGCTATGTAAATGTACGATTTTACAGCACTTTAATTCTATAAAACAGTAATGTAAGGTGCCCTGTATTTCAGTATTCAGACTACATATGTAATCGGTCTACAGTCTATTCAGATTGATAAAGTGTAAAGTTAGGCTACAGAAAAATAATGCAATGTAATACGACACTAGATTTTATTTACTGTTTGCATATTTGATCAATACTAACCTCTGTCTTTAATGATATCAAATAGACAGCTTGGTTAACTTTCTCCAAGTGGTTGTTCTGAAATAAAATTCAAACTAAATGACTAAAACAGCATTTTTTCCCCCTAAAACATTACGAAAAAATTGCATTAATACTCTGGGATGTTTAATAACAATATCAGAAGTTCCTGCCCAACAACATCAATGAATAATGAATATTACTACGATTGTAGTTTCTGATATTAATAAAACCTTTTTTTTTTTTCAGAAGTAAATGAAGTATGAAAACAAGAACCTGGTAGTATTTATTTCATTACTGTAACTCCGCTTAAAGTGATTTAAGATCAGGTGACTTACTGATTGTGATTAAAATAATCGGATGTACATTTGATATTTGTCTAAGGGACACGGAAACAAATATATTCATACAGTTGACCATGTATGATCTGTACAAATATTACTTCCACTTCAGCAATGAGAGACTTGATCAAGCTATTTACATTGTACCTACATGTATACTTATATGTGCATTGTATTGTAAGACACACAAATAAAAATATTGTAGCTATATCAGTGAATTGTTGACTAGAAAATCTTACCTTGATATAGTAATCTAATCTCCAATCAACATCAACAATATGAGGGGGAGATACTCCAATACTGAAATAAAAAATCACAATAAGAGCGAGAGTGTGTGTGTGCGTGTGCGCGTGCGTGAGTGAGTGAGTGATCAAGTGAGGGGGGGGTGGGGGGGTGTCTCTGAGGTCTGAGGATGAAAAAGTTTAAGTAATTACAGGGAGGGATAACTTTTTGGTAAATTACAGAAAAAGGGAAAGGAGAAACGTGCATGAGTTAACTTTGATACTCACTCTACAAATTTACTGAGTGTTTAATGTTAAGGGACAAAACTCTGATATTTAAATATTGAAATTTCTGCAAGTAATTAGTGTTAGAGGGAAAGATGTGTGTGTGTAGGGGGTGATAGTGAATGATCCTTTTACCCCAAGCACAATCTTTATCATTTTATATACACCTTGCCATATCATCAGCTTTTTTACATTCTGTAGTGTAGTTGAACTAACAAATAACAAATTCTTGAATAAAAAATAATAATCCAATGAGTATCTTGTGCCTGCTTACTTACTTTCCAAGCAGAATCTGCAAGATTTGTTTTCTTTCCTAATAAATAAAACAAGCAAAAATAATTAATCAACATGTGGCCTGATTTTAATGTTTTACCTGTGTTACTTATAAAATGCATATATATTTTATATAATATTTATATTCAGAAAATTGAAATAAAATATAAATTCATTGAAGTGTCTTTTTTACAGTTTTCTCATAAGAATTATAGCATATGTTTGAAAAAACAAATAAAGGATTTAAAAAATCTTCATCTTTTTTGTTAAAATTGGGAGCTATATATCAAATTGAAAAGAAAATATCTATCAGATTAGGAAAGGAATTGAATTACTCTACAATTTTAGACATGAAAAACACAGTATTATACAATTTAATGGTTTGTTTACCTGGTAACTTGATACAAAAGCTTTGATTCTGTCAGCTGTAAATTTACAGTCCTCCAGCACAGACCTGAGATATTAGGAAAAAAATAATCATTGTATTTTAATAAGATTTTCTACAAAAAGTTTCCAGCAAAAATCAAATTCCGTGTTGGATACAATATATGAAAGGCTTCCTTATTAGAAGTTCAGGTAACCTTACTGGACTCAGTTTGCAGGAAGTTTGCTTCAGTCAAGGTGTACAGTTAGTGTTTTGGAAAGAGAAGAGTACAGACAAAGCAGGTTTTTCAGTACTCCAAAATACATTATAATTTCTCTCCGTCATATACATTTACACCTTTGTTTCAATGAATAACAGATAAGCACCATAGAGATCTTGCTGTTAAATGCATTGTAAACAATTAAATGGAATCTTCAATTCTATAATTTTAAAAATTCACTCAAATATGACATTTTTGCCCCCAAAATATCCATCTTCCAAACGATGAAGAGAAAATCTTGTTGCAACAAGGCTAAGAACTATATCAGACATGACTAGGCAATAAGATCAGACATGAATAGGCAATAAAGACTTTGTAGTCAGTTTTTCAAAACTTTCATCCCAAAAACATGTCAAAAACAGAATTTTCATGTAACCTTCAGATGTCCATATAACAATGTAACTATATGTTTGATTGGAATAGCACTAAATATACTCTATGAGATACAATGCTTAACATAAAACTTTCAGGCCAAACTTCTTCGTTTAGTACTTAGTAGTTAGTACCTAGTTTTCAGAGTGTACCCAGTTCTCTGTATACCCAGTACCCAGTTCTCTGTATACCCAGTACCTAGTTCTCTGTATACCCAGTACCTAGTTCTCTGCATACCCAGTACCCAGTTCTCTGCATACCCAGTACCCAGTTCTCTGCATACCCAGTACCCAGTTCTCTGTATACCCAGTACCCAGTTCTCTGTATACCCAGTACCTAGTTCTCTGTATACCCAGTACCTAGTTCTCTGTATACCCAGTACCTAGTACCCAGTTCTCTGTATACCCAGTACCTAGTTCTCTGCATACCCATTACCTAGTTCTCTGTATACCCAGTACCTAGTTCTCTGTATACCCAGTACCTAGTTCTCTGTATACCCTGTACCTAGTACCTAGTTCTCTGTATACCTAGTGCCTAGTTCTCTGTATACCCAGTACCTAGTTCTCTGTATACCCAGTACCTAGTACCTAGTTCTCTGTATATCCAGTACCTAGTTCTCTGTATACCCAGTGCCTAGTTCTCTGTATACCCAGTACCTAGTACCTAGTTCTCTGTATACCCTGTACCTAGTTCTCTGTATACCCAGTACCTTGTTCTCTGTGCCTAGTTCTCTGTATACCCAGTACCTAGTTCCCTGTATACCCAGTACCTAGTTTTCTGTATACCCAGTACCTAGTTCTCTGTATACCCAGTACCTAGTTCTCTGTACCTAATTCTCTGTATACCCAGTACCCAGTACCTAATTCTCTGTATACCCTGTACCTAGTACCTAGTTCTCTGTATACCCAGTACCTAGTTCTCTGTATACCCTGTACCTAGTACCTAGTTCTCTGTATACCTAGTGCCTAGTTCTCTGTATACCCAGTACCTAGTTCTCTGTATACCCAGTACCTAGTACCTAGTTCTCTGTATATCCAGTACCTAGTTCTCTGTATACCCAGTGCCTAGTTCTCTGTATACCCAGTACCTAGTACCTAGTTCTCTGTATACCCTGTACCTAGTTCTCTGTATACCCAGTACCTTGTTCTCTGTGCCTAGTTCTCTGTATACCCAGTACCTAGTTCCCTGTATACCCAGTACCTAGTTTTCTGTATACCCAGTACCTAGTTCTCTGTATACCCAGTACCTAGTTCTCTGTACCTAATTCTCTGTATACCCAGTACCCAGTACCTAATTCTCTGTATACCCTGTACCTAGTACCTAGTTCTCTGTATACCATGTACCTAGTTCTCTGTATACCCAGTACCTAATACCTAGTTTTCTGTATACCCAGTACCTAATTCTCTGTATACCCAGTACCTAATTCTCTGTATACCCAGTACCTAATTCTCTGTATACCCAGTACCTAATTCTCTGTATACCCAGTACCTAATTTTCTGTATACCCAGTACCTAGTACCTAGTTCTCTGTATACCCAGAACCTAATTCTCTGTATATCCAGTACCTAGTTCTCTGTATACCCAGTACCTAGTTCCCTGTATACCCAGTACCTAGTTTTTTGTATACCCAGTACCTAGTTCTCTGTACCTAATTCTCTGTATACCCAGTACCTAGTACCTAGTTCTCTGTATACCCAGAACCTAATTCTCTGTATATCCAGTACCTAGTTCTCTGTATACCCAGTACCTAGTTCCCTGTATACCCAGTACCTAGTTTTTTGTATACCCACCTAGTTTTTTGTATACCCAGTACCTAGTTCTCTGTACCTAATTCTCTGTATACCCTGTACCTAGTACCTAGTTCTCTGTATACCAAGTACCTAGTTCTCTGTATACCCTGTACCTAATACCTAGTTCTCTGTATACCTAGTACCTAGTTCTCTGTATACCCAGTACCTAATACCTAGTTCTCTGTATACCCAGTACCTAATTCTCTGTATACCCAGTACCTAGTACCTAGTTCTCTGTATATCCAGTACCTAGTTCTCTGTACACCCAGTACCTAGTACCTAGTGCTCTGTATATCCAGTACCTAGTTCTCTGTATACCCAGTACCTAGTTCTCTGTTTACCCAGTACCTAGTTCTCAGTGTTGTTCTCTGTATACCCAGTACCTAATTCTCTGTATACCCAGTACCTAGTTCTCTGTATACCCAGTACCTAGTTCTCTGTATACCCAGTACCTAGTACCTAGTTCTCTGTATATCTAGTGCCTAGTTCTCTGTATACCCAGTACCTAGTTCTCTGTATACCCAGTACCTAGTACCTAGTTCTCTGTATATCCAGGACCTAGTTCTCTGTATACCCAGTGCCTAGTTCTCTGTATACCCAGTACCTAGTACCTAGTTCTCTGTATACCCTGTACCTAGTTCTCTGTATACCCAGTATCTAGTTCTCTGTGCCTAATTCTCTGTATACCCAGTGCCTAGTTCTCTGTATACCCAGTACATAGTACCTAGTTCTCTGTATACCCTGTACCTAGTTCTCTGTATACCCAGTACCTAGTTCTCTGTATACCCTGTACCTAGTTCTCTGTATACCCAGTACCTAGTTCTCTGTATACCCTGTACCTAGTTCTCTGTATACCCAGTATCTAGTTCTCTGTGCCTAATTCTCTGTATACCCAGTACCTAGTTCCCTGTATACCCAGTACCTTGTTTTCTGTATACCCAGTACCCAGTTCTCTGTATACCCAGTACCTAGTTCTCTGTACCTAATTCTCTGTATACCCAGTACCCAGTACCTAGTTCTCTGTATACCCAGTACCTAATTCTCTGTATACCTAGTACCTAGTACCTAGTTTTCTGTATATCCAGTACCTAGTTCTCTGTATACCCAGTACCTAATTCTCTGTATACCCAGTACCTAGTACCTAGTTCTCTGTATACCCAGTACCTAATTCTCTATATACCCAGTACCTAGTTCTCTGTATATCCAGTACCTAGTTCTCTGTATACCCAGTACCTAGTACCTAGTTCTCTGTATATCCAGTACCTAGTTCTCTGTATACCCAGTACCTAGTTCTCTGTATACCCAGTACCTAGTACCTAGTTCTCTGTATATCCAGTACCTAGATCTCTGTATTCCCAGTACCTAGTTCTCTGTATACCCAGTGCCTAATACCTAGTTCTCTGTATACCCAGTACCGAGTTCCCTGTATACGCAGTACCTAGTTCTCTGTATACCCAGTACCTAGTTCTTTGTATACGCAGTACCCTGTACCTAGTTCTCTGTATACCTAGTACCTAGTTCTCTGTATACGCAGTACCTAGTTCTCTGTATACCCAGTACCTAGTTCTCTGTATACGCAGTACCCAGTACCTAGTTCTCTGTATACCTAGTTCCTAGTTCTCTGTATACCCAGTACCTAGTTCTCTGTATACCCAGTACCTAGTACCTAGTTCTCTGTATACCTAGTACCTAGTTCTCTGTATACCCAGTACCTAGTTCTCTGTATATCCAGTAACTAGTACCTAGTTCTCTGTATACCTAGTACCTAGTTCTCTGTATATCCAGTACCCAGTACCTAGTTCTCTGTATATCCAGTACCTAGTTCTCTGTATACCCAGTACCTAGTACCTAGTTCTCTGTATACCTAGTACCTAGTTCTCTGTATATCCAGTACCCAGTACCTAGTTCTCTGTATATCCAGTACCTAGTTCTCTGTATACCCAGTACCTAGTACCTAGTTCTCTGTATATCCAGTACCTAGTACCTAGTTCTCTGTATATCCAGTAACTAGTACCTAGTTCTCTGTATACCCAGTACCTAGTACCTAGTTCTCTGTATATCCAGTAACTAGTACCTAGTTCTCTGTATACCCAGTACCTAGTTCTCTGCATACCCAGTACCGAGTACCTAGTTCTCTGTATATCCAGTACCTAGTTCTCTGTATACCTAGTACCTAGTTCTCTGTATATCCAGTACCCAGTACCTAGTTCTCTGTATATCCAGTACCTAGTTCTCTGTATACCCAGTACCTAGTACCTAGTTCTCTGTATATCCAGTAACTAGTACCTAGTTCTCTGTATACCCAGTACCTAGTACCTAGTTCTCTGTATATCCAGTAACTAGTACCTAGTTCTCTGTATACCCAGTACCTAGTTCTCTGTATACCCAGTACCTAGTACCTAGTTCTCTGTATATCCAGTACCTAGTTCTCTGTATACCTAGTACCTAGTTCTCTGTATATCCAGTACCCAGTACCTAGTTCTCTGTATATCCAGTACCTAGTTCTCTGTATACCCAGTACCTAGTACCTAGTTCTCTGTATATCCAGTAACTAGTACCTAGTTCTCTGTATATCCAGTACCTAGTTCTCTGTATACCCAGTACCTAGTACCTAGTTCTCTGTATATCCAGTAACTAGTACCTAGTTCTCTGTATACCCAGTACCTAGTTCTCTGTATACCCAGTGCCTAGTACCTAGTTATCTGTATGCCCAGTGCCTAGTTCTCTGTATAATCTGTATACCCAGTACCTAGTTCTCTGTATACCCAGCACCTAGTTTTTAACTTAAAACTTTTTAGCTACAGATCTAAACCTAAAACCTTATATAAATGCATCATCAAAATTCCAGGGGAACCAATCACTAACAATCTCTGTACTGAGTGGAAGTGTTTGTGACCCCTGGAATATCTAGGATGAGAGAATTGTTGCTAAAACCAGATGAGTAACTGCACAGTCTAGCTTTAACAAATCCTTGTTGTAAGTGAAACTCTGAGGAAGCTTACTCCAGTGAGGCTGTCTCTGTGTCATGCTTGGTGGCTTCAATGATACAGGACACCAGCCCAGCATAAGCCTCTTTCAGTACTGCCTTGTCAACACCGCTGAATGCATTGTCTCCTGCAGTAAAATATATGTAATTATTACAAATGACTTTATGCAATAAATCTCCATAGATTTCATATAATGTTATGTATAATACTGACACCATCACTAACTGGTTTTAACACAAAGATATACATGAAATCACTCTTTAAACTTAAATTTATGATTGCTTTACATCCTTTTAGCAGCCTGTGTCATTTAACAGCATGCCACATTTTGTTGGTGATGGAAGAAAGCTTGAGTCCTTGGAGAAAAACTACCAACATGCAGCAAGTACTTGGTTTCACAATTTTCTATAAATGAGTAAGGATGTCACATTGAACTAAGTTTACTAAAACAATATATACTGTTCATCACTTAGAGCTCATGTTTACCTTATCTCGCAAACTTGCCTCTTCAGAGATATTTGCAAATACATGATTTCGTGACTACTGATCTAGAAATGACTGAGGAGAGCTGGACTTTGAAGGATGTCAATGTTACAATCTTGAAAATAGATCAAGATCATTGATATGAGAAAACTTCATAGCACTCCACTCCATTCTAGGTACTTGCCCAATTCAAAAAGAAGATAATCAAAGTTTTAACCAATTTGACCTCTGTGGCCTTAAATCAAGTCGAGATAACTTTTAGGAGAAAAACCTGCAACACTCCTTCTTCTGGAATCTCAAATGTTTCTTTGCATATTCAACCACTCCTCCCCTTCCGACATTGACAATAGACCAAGGTCATAAGAGGACATTTTTGTAACTCACCATCTCCAGTACCTACTTCTGGAACTAGAGAACACATTTTTTTTTGTTTAAATATTTGGCCCCTTTGACCTTGAAAGTGTTCTGTATGCCAACCAAGGTACCTTCTAGCCAAATATCAGTTGCCAGTTAGTTAAAGTTTCCTCAAATATGATAAAAGTTAATGGATAGATGCACAACAGATCCTTCACCATACCATTAGCTTAATGATACTTTGTGCCATGTGAGCTAAATATATGGTAAGGCGATGAGGCATGACAAGAGAATGGAACATTTCTAAAATACGAATTTCACGGCTATACATATATTGATGTCACTTGGAACTAAATCAGTGGAGAGAGAGTATTTCTTATCTTCAGGATGACAGTTCTTCTTAAAAAAAGAAAAACATTTTGATGTGGAATTTTCAAAATAACATAATGTCATACCCAGTGTTTGTGTTATGCTCTGGACAAAATTTAAGTATGAAAATTATAACTCCTAAATTATGCAAAAAAGTGAGGTTTTTTTGTGTGTACTACACTTTTGCTTGTAGAGATGTATCTACAAATCCATGGTGTTTCATGTTGACACCTAGTACAGTTTTTGTGTTATGCTCCAGACAAAATTATGATGGACAGAAAGACAAATGGATGAACAAAGTGGCAAATGTATGCTCTTCCTTCAGGGAGCATAAAAACGGATTCATGGATTTGTACTTCTAAATTTATTCAAAAGTATATCAGCTGGTAAAATTTGGACCTTTACTGGCACACGAGACAAACCTCAGACTTATGTTAGGTTAGCATAACATATGTGTAACTATTTTATTAAATATTTATACAGTTTTATAAATCAGAGAAAAGAAAAAGACAGGATAGAATGAAAAGACAAAGATAGTGATCAATCATAAACCCACAAAATCACTTGTATCACAATGTTAAGCTATGAAACATACATTTTTCCTTGTAGCTTATCAAGCTTACAGTACTTAGGTGTAAAAGCTCCACTTTTGTATACCAATGTTTTATACAGAATAATAACTTTAGTGATTAGAATGGTTTTAAATTTAGTTGATGAGAAAATGTACATATCACCAGCATACAGCATATAGAAAATTACTGACAAGATTAAGCCTTAGCATCTATACCAAGAACAGACAGACACCAAAAAATAAAAAGCACCATTAAGACCCATGTCAGTAGGTGTTCTAAAAAAAGTTTTCCTGTTTTAAATATAGAGTCTATCATAACGTCTCTTCTTAGTTCAGGGAAAACAGCAGTAAACATAAAGATTTTGAATGCTTTGGTTTTAATGTACCATGGACAGTGAACAGTACAGCCAACTTTTCAATATATAATTACAAATGTCGTGCCATCTTTGTAAGGATGTCGGCATGGACATCCGCAAGATGGATGAGGACCTACAGCAGGAACTTGATGTGACACAGGCCCACGGCATCTTATTTGATTCAGACAAGTCCGATGATGAGATTCTCCTATTCGGAGGATTCAGCCCAGAGGATTAGCTAAAGTGACTGGTATTTAAAGTGTTTCAGTGATTGTGAGTAGGCCTACTGTGTTTCAATATAAAGTGCTGTGTTAGTTCTTGTAATAGACATTATAATGTGTTTAGTGCTCTCATGCAAGTCACAAAGAACTGTATCGCTGTAACATATGCAGATGTGTTATGATGATCTCAGTAAAATATATTTTGTTATATTGTTAATAAAATTATTGATCCTATTTTCGTCTTTGAGTTATTTTTGATGACAGGCCAAGTTATCGTTCCTTATGACAAAAAATCCAAGATGGCTGACACACATCTCATGAACAGGGGAATAGCCTGCAAATAAGCCCCCTCCCCTCTTTTGACAAGTCTTTTTTTAACTTGGGGGGTGGGGGTTATTTGTGGTAAAATATGGTACATGAAGTTTAAGGAGATATATCCATTAAGATGCTTATTCTCAATACAGCTCTTAATCAAGACTTATTCAAAACTTCAGGCCATTTGCCATTATTATTCACGATTTGTAATTTACAATTCTCTATTCACAAAGTATAGAGAATTATTCTCTTTTAACAGAGACAATACCCATTATATATAATATAGTAATTAAATTCTTTAAATCATTTCTTACATTGTTGCCTCAGTTGAATATACCTCTACTACCACACCAGTTTACCAAAATTTTATACCCATTTTAAACTATACAATTCAATATATATTTGTCATTCTATGTTTTTCTAACATCAAACAATCCTAACATGTTTATGTAATAATCCATTATGTCATTTGTAAGGCCGAATGAAATCATAATGTAACATGTCTGTACACACTTGTTTCACTTAGTGTCATTTATTATGTCTTTGTTTCTCAAGTTTTAATGTTGTAATATATCAATCAATTACCTCAAATCTCAATATCACTATATGTCCCTGATAAATTGCAATAATTGAAGCTAAGAAATGGTCTGTATTTTTTTACTCCCCTATATGCAACCAAATCTTGAGCTTGATACATTGTCTACATAGAGACATTACAGTCACATGTGATCTTATGAAAACTGTAACAATGGGTTATATATATCTCTGATTTTAATGTATCTGAGGAAACCAAATGAAACCATTCTAATTTGTACTAATAAGTACTTTAAAAGAATTGTCATAAAAAGAGATGTACAGTTAGGTAGTTATTTATACATTCATCTATGCCAGGACTAGATATCTATATTTTATAATCATCTACAATTTGATATTAATTGTGAAGTTATTTGGTCTATACCAGGTGAATGAATGACGTTTCTATTGGGTAAATCGACGGACCATAATCACTACGGTCATTAACATACGAATTTATTACATAAATGCCTATTGAATTATTGTTAACAATAGTCAATAGTTTACGTGATACAAGTCGAAGACCGCTCCGAAACTTATGGCAGTGCGGAACAGATTCTAGTTTACACCATTTCAAGATAATATTCACAGGATCATTACCCGATATTTGATTTCTTTGCTCCGAGTCAACAACTCCATTGAATGCTGCATCAAGTAATTTTTGATAACACTTGTCAGGAACGTGGGCAGAATCACCAACTACTGACAAACTGTCAATTACAGATTGAGAGAGCTCCATTTTTTGTGGACAAGTCACTCCCCCATGTTCCCTTCTTAATTTCATCAAGCTGGAGAGCTCCGAAACTGGGGATCATAAATTATTTGAATTTTCTGTAAGAATTTTACATTAAAAATACCATAATAATGTCATATGTTATTGATTCAACCAATTCTCTATCATTTAATTTTTAATATCAAATTATTGTATCAATGTAAATGTATGGTAAAATTCTCAGTTTTGCTTCACACATTGAAAATAGTTAATAACTAGTCCCTTTTCACGGTAAAGCGAAAGAGAAAGCAATAACTTGTCTAGCAGCGGAGGGAGTTCCCAGGCCGTTGAAGATGGCAAGGAATCCCCAAAATATATCTCAGAGACACGTTGACATAGAAGAAGTATTACGCAAATATACGCCACAGCTTCGAAAAAATGTCAACCCTAAAGATATATATCCAAATCTGACAAGATTGACAAGAAGTGATACAGAACAAATTGAATGTCAGACGAAAGCAGAGGGGAATATGCGTGGGATGGACAAATTGTTAGAATGTATTGTTAGACGTCCAAAGAAATGTTTCTTTGATTTTCTGGTAATTTTGGAAAAAACAGATTATGCAGAGAAATCTCAGCTTGTGATTAAAGGTGAAAATCTTATCAACACTAAAGAGCTACTGGAAGCAAAACAAGAATGGCTAAGAAAAAATGAACAGCCTGACTCTACTGCTTTTTCAGATGATAGACCTAATTACTGCCCAAATGTCGAAGGAGCTTTTGATACACCTGCTAGATATCCACCCATTGGACCCAATCACTGGTCTCCAGTGGCATTAGATAATTTTGGAAGGGACCAAAGAATTGGAAGCAGTGTCTCTTCTCCATTGCATTACAGACTAAAAGTCCCTTCTGCATTGGGTAGAGTTGAACAAAGTTTCCCAGAAAATGACCACCATACAAGTATTGGTGGAGGTCATGGACAAAATATGTCACATTGTAATCTTGACAATTTCGGACATGAAGGTAGAAATATGCCATCCAGTGAGAATGATTCCACTAAAAAGGGAAAAGATTGTTTTTCAATAGATGTTACACCGCTCTATCAGAGATGCCCTGGGCAGTCTAGGTATAGACAGGCAGATTCATGTGATGGACAAGATGGGACAGCAGCGGTTAGTACAAGTCTACGGGAACCTGTTTCTATTAGCCCCTTCCATCTGATACAGTCTCATCAAAGTGTTGGTCAACAGAATGTTGGAACAGTTGAAATGGATAACAATCAACAAGAGCAGTCACTATATCATATTCCAAATACACCAGAGATACAGAGTGGTCAACCTGTGCCATTAAGATTTCAAGAAGTACCACTTCAAGGTAATGTGAGAAAGCAATTTATATTTTTGTTGTTTTGTTTGTTTATCCCAAATGAGAAATATTTGTTGTGTTTCATGTATTGTTATACCCTCATATCCAGTGGATAAATGTATTGTTATACCCTCACATCCAGTGGATAAATGTATTGTCATACCCTCACATCCAGTGGATAAATGTATTGTCATACCCTCACATCCAGTGGATAAATGTATTGTTTTACCCTCACATCCAGTGGATAAATGTATTGTTTTACCCTCACATCCAGTGGATAAATGTATTGTTATACCCTCACATCCAGTGGATAAATGTATTGTTTTACCCTCACATCCAGTGGATAAATGTATTGTTTTACCCTCACATCCAGTGGATAAATGTATTGTTATGCCCTCACATCCAGTGAATAAATGTATTGTTATGCCCTCACATCCAGTGGATAAATGTATTGTCATACCCACACATCCAGTGGATAAATGTATTGTCATACCCTCACATCCAGTGGATAAATGTATTGTTATACCTTCACATCCAGTGGATAAATGTATTGTTATACCCTCACATCCAGTGGATAAATGTATTGTCATACCCTCACATCCAGTGGATAAATGTATTGTCATACCCTCACATCCAGTGGATAAATGTATTGTCATACCCTCACATCCAGTGGATAAATGTATTGTCATACCCTCACATCCAGTGGATAAATGTATTGTTATACCCTCACATCCAGTGGATAAATGTATTGTTATACCCTCACATCCAGTGGATAAATGTATTGTCATACCCTCACATCCAGTGGATAAAATAAAACAAATAGGCAAGCAAACAATACAAAATAAAACATTTAAGGAGCTTTGAATTGGAACCTTTATGACATTCAAAGAAGAAAAATGTTGGAATATCAACAATAGGAATTCTGTAACTGTGTTATGTATTTTTTTCATCACAAGTTATCCGTAATAAGAACAACTTTGCCAATGTGCAAAATAACTTAATGATTGTTGACAAATCATGTGATATACAATACTAAATCACAGAGATTGAGATATAAAAGCTAAAATATGATGTTATAGTCCTGACAATAAGTGAAAAATAAAACGATATGTAATACTATATTAGCTATTTTCTAGTACTTAGTACTAAAACTTGCATATCATATAAATGGATTAGTCTTTCGTCCCCACTAAATTCGTATTATAGTCCTGGCACTTCTTGTTAAGTTGGGACAAGCCATGTATTATACAGTGTATAAGGATATAACACTCCTTTTGGCATATTTGTGTGACCATTGATCTTACTGATACTCATTGAAAATGTCCTGTAGTGTTCTGTTATCCCTCTAGCATTACATGGTCCATTTTCCATCATATCCAGAGTCCATTTGCTGTCCTTAAACAATTCTTGTTATCACTATTTCCGTAGAAGTAATTGATTGATCTTTTTTCAATTTGATATTTAGGTTCTCCTTAGTCTCTGTTTGTGCAGTGTCCCAATTTTTGAACTGGTCTGAAAAATAACATGTTCCTAAGTTGTGCCCTTTAAAATTTGGGACTGATTAGAGCAATAATGGCTGACAGGCAGCCATCTCTGATATGGCAGTTAAAGGTTATTTTTATTTCTTAAGAGGAATTTTCAAATTTCATGTCATTAAGAGTGGAAGAGAGAAAGAAATGGGAAAGATCCAAATTTCAAAGACCATATAAAGGTTGATTGATGGTAGGTGCCAAGATCCCCCTGGAATCTCTTGTTTTGGGTTTTTGGGTAACATATTGCAACCCCCTTTTGTCCAGCATTGTCCATTGTGCATCTGTAAGCATTTTAACATTTTATCCTCTCAGAACCTATTTCAGTGAAATTTTGCAGGAACCTTTCACCACCAAAATTGTAAATAATATGGTCCCCACCCACAGGGACCAGAGGGGCAAGGCCAAAAAGGGGTCAAATTGTTGAAATTCCAAAAATCTTCTTCTCAGTACCCATATTATGGTAGAATCAAATATACTCTCATAGGTGGAACCATCTTAAGGTGCTTTACCAAAATTGTACATTTCATAACCCCAGAATACTCACAGTTCCCCGATAGGGAAGGGGTACAATTTACTATATTTGATAAAGGAAAATAACTTTTTGAGCATAATTGATTAATTTTCTATTAGAAATAGGTCAAACTTGGTAAACGTTGTTAGTATAGGATGACAGCTTGATGCTTTGCACATATTGAACCTTGCTGGCCCCCAAAGCTGATGGATGGTGCCAAAAAGGGTCAAATTGATTGATATTTCAAAATTCTTCTTCTAAATTTCTAAATATGGTAGAATCAAATACTCTTCATAGATAGAAGGGTATAGAGGGGCATTACCAAATAGTAAATTTCATGACCCAAGGGTCTCACATTTGCCCCTAGGGAAGGGGTAAAGTTTGCAACTATTTATTAGGTCACCATTTTGTCTTGAAAGTAATACAATAATGAATTACAATTTCAGTAAAACTCCCTGTACAAATAGCATTTCTCATTTCCCCTTCCTCATGCTACACATTCATTCCAGTTGCCTCAGTTTACTCAGTTGACCGTTTAGGCCCTGGATCTTGATCTTGTATAATTACCACTGGATCTCATATTCTTCTCCATGAGGGAAACAACCACTTTTAGTTAGTGGTAATTATGTATTGTTCATTGCAAATCTATTTCAAACAGTTAGAATCACAGGGGATGGAAGTCTGAAACAACCTGACCCACTCACTCCTAGGGATGCATTAGACAAAGATTTCAACAAATGCTTTCAGATCCAGGAGGTTCATTTTCCATATTTCTTCTCTTAGATCATCAAGCTGTAGAAGACTTGCCAGACAAAATGGTAAATATAGATATTGGGGAGGTAATATGGGAGGTAAATATAGATATTGGGGAGGTAATATGGGAGGTAAATATAGATATTGGGGAGGTAATATGGGAGGTAAATATAGGTATTGGGGAGGTAATATTGGAGGTAAATATAGATATTGGGGAGGTAATATGGGAGGTAAATATAGATATTGGGGAGGTAATAAGGAAGGTAAATATAGATATTGGGGAGGTAATATGGGAGGTAAATATAGATATTCGGGAGGTAATATGGGAGGTAAATATAGATACTGTGGAGGTAATAAGCGAGGTAAATATAGATATTGGGGAGGTAATATGGGAGGTAAATATAGATACTGGGGAGGTTATATGGGAGGTAAATATAGATATTGTAAAGTTATATGGAGGTAAATATAGATATTGGGGAGGTAATATGGGAGGTAAATATAGATATTGGGGAGGTTATAAGGGAGGTAAATATAGATATTGGGGAGGTAATATGGGAGGTAAATATAGATATTGGGGAGGTAATATGGGAGGTAAATATAGATATTGGGGAGGTAATATGGGAGGTAAATATAGATATTGGGGAGGTAATATGGGAGGTAAATATAGATATCGTAAAGTTATATGGAGGTAAATATAGATATTGGGGAGGTAATATGGGAGGTAAATATAGATATTGGGGAGGTAATATGGGAGGTAAATATAGATATTGGGGAGGTAATATGGGAGGTAAATATAGATATTGGGGAGGTAATATGGGAGGTAAATATAGATATTGGGGAGGTAATATGGGAGGTAAATATAGATATTCGGGAGGTAATATGGGAGGTAAATATAG